GGGAAAGGATGTTTTTCTACTAGGCTTTTTTTTTTCCCTTATTTTTATTCAGCACACTTGACATTTTACAAAGGCTAAAAGCTTTTGAAACCTTAACAGAGAAAAAGCTTTCTGCCCAAAAGTGAGCTAACTGTGTACAAACAGCCCAGATATTCCTATTATAAACAAAAGTGCCTAGGCTCTGCCTGAACCCTGAATTTCAACTCATGGGGTGTTGTTGACTTCAGCAACTCAGCAATGCCATCTAATAATTGTGACCTAAAACCTATTTGTGTTAAGCAGGAAGGCCTGCCTAGAGGAAAAGGTATTCTCAATTGGGAAAAAATAGATAATTTATACCTTTAACAACATAATTTACTCTGACCTTTTCAGAAAGAGGTTATAAAGGCCACATAAGATAATAATCTAACAAATTCTGTACAATTCATATTGATAAGAAGTTGTTGCTATAAATATAATCCCGTTTCTAAGTCTTTACTTAGTTGTATCATTTACATGTTAATAGACAAACACACAAAACCAATTATACACATTTATTTTTCTGCAATGTATCTACTGCACATGAGGACAAAGAAAGTTATATGGATACGTGATAACCAAAACACGTGTGCAATTATGGGGCCATGTTAATAAAAGCATTTTATATCCACCATTTGACCTATTTGACATTTTCCAAAATATTTCACACAGTATGCTCTGAGACTAAAGTAGATATTATATATGTCACTATAGAACCATATGATAAAAAGAGCAACTCAGCAGAACAAATCAGTTTTTAAAAAAAGAAGTTACCATCCTATTTTTAAAGACAATCAACTTTATTCCTAATAATCTGTCCTGACTTTTATCAGTCAATTCAGTTAAGTCCTTAACAGTTGAATAATTTTTTACTAACTAAACAATGTATACCATCTTCCAATTCCAACTTCATTAAGGAGATTATAGATTTCTGCAATATTTTTAAATATTTAAAACATTAAATAGTGAAAAGTTTGGGGTAGCCAAAATTAAAGCCAAAATTTATGAATAATACAACAA